ACCATCAGGCCCCGGAGCACTCTGAGAGTTAAAGCGTGTCTTCTCCTCCCAAGTACGGACATACCAACATGGTTCATCAGCTTCGGCGACGGAGTCTATTCTGTGCGTTTTGATACTATCTCCCGCAGCTTTGATGCTGGAATCCCACGCAGTAGCAATATCGTCAGGATCTTCGTTAGGGTGTAGGTTGCGAAGATGCTCCAGCGTGTCGTTGTTGCGCGGTGAAGGTGCTGGGGAAATTAAGGCACTGGCAGCTTTAGTGATGCCTCCGCTTTCGTGCGCAAGTCTTGTGGCTCTTCTTTGGCGATTGTCTTCAGTATCCGCGTAAAACTGAAGTCGACGAGTCTTTTCGTACATCATGAGCCAGGCGATAGGTTCACTCAGATCACCATGTATTTGCAAAGCGGTTAATAAATCGGGATACCCTGTTCATCCTTCCATCAGTCGATCCATGCAATGCTGGGGTAAGATGAAGCAACTTTGTTGCTCGGACAAGTTGGAGTTGTCTTTCAACACGTGCTACTTCATATCTTTCCGCGGCAAGAGGAGACAGATCTGAGGTATCTGACTTCTGCTGATCCATGTACGTGTACAGCTCCAAATGCTTGCACGAAGAGGATGACGACATGTTGGAAGTTTGCAAAATACTTTCGCCAGTTACGGGTCGACGTGTTTGACTGTNTCAACACGTGCTACTTCATATCTTTCCGCGGCAAGAGGAGACAGATCTGAGGTATCTGACTTCTGCTGATCCATGTACGTGTACAGCTCCAAATGCTTGCACGAAGAGGATGACGACATGTTGGAAGTTTGCAAAATACTTTCGCCAGTTACGGGTCGACGTGTTTGACTGTCGAAAAAGTTGACGTTTCAAGAGTATCTTGTCGAACCTGATCCAGGGCACTGCTGACGTCGTTGAGGTCCCACGGTAATAGGAGTTGCCGCCTATCGTCATCATCCTCTTGCGGTGGCTGCAACGACCCAGAGAGAGATGAAGACGATGTAGTACCTGGTTCGCAACAATGCTTGGTGCGTGGAGAGAAAAGGTCGCCGCATGTGCCACATGTGGCGTAACCAGGTGCTTGGCTGCTCGAGCGCAAGGATCCAGGAGGAGACAAATTGAGTAGTAGCTCCTTTCCTCGACCTTTATGCTGACGTTTTTGGTGTGTAGCCAGATTCCTCGCCGTCAGGTTCGTTGATCCTTCGCTGATGCAGAGGGGACACGAATGCCGTACTTCCGTTGGGCATCGTGGTGCAGGTCCAGGTACGGGTGATGGTGGTGCCAAATCTTGGGTCATGACACCGCTCGTTGCCGATGCGACTGGAGGGCTCCAGTGCAAAGCGATTCCACGTCAGTCCATCAGTCTACTACTGCTGCTGCTGCTACAACCTTCCGCCACGCACGCTCGTGCGTGGTGGAAGCGGTGTGTGTGTGTGTGTGTTTTCGTCCTATTTATTATGGCGACAGTCCCCCCCTTTTTCGTGGTGAGACGTGTACTACACTTTTCAGCGTATGTAGAGTACTCCACTTTTCAGTGTATATTTTCGTACAACTACAACCATCAAGGGTCACACAGGAGGGGGTAAACACCAGGGCTTCCTTCTTCTATTTATTTCTTTTCATTCCCCACCTTCCTCCTGCGGTGCGTGCTGATTTTTTTTTTTTTCGCGAGAAGGGTCCAGCCGTCCCTTCCCCTCGTCAACGGTGCTCACGTCAAAGTTTGGTACTCATGAGAGCTTGTTGTCAGCTATATTTCGCTGTCACTCGCACATGTCGTAATTTTTTCACCCCATGGGGATTCGAACTCACGACGTCTGCGACTAGCGGATTACGAGGAAACCACTAGACTTAGACCACCGGGGCGACCGTGGTACTGATCAGTAAAAAAAGCACAGAGAGAGAGAGAGAGGCACAGAGAGAGAGGAAAACGGGCACGACCTGCTTCGTGCATCATGCTTCCGAGGCACAGGACACACAGGACACAGACAGCAGTTTATTGGTTTCGCCGCGATCTACGGCGGATGCTGTCGGAAATTGGTGTCGTCTTGATTTCCAAGTGTACCTTGAAGTGGTGATAATCTATCCGGGTAAATAAACCCGTTTCTGGTTACTCCTCTGTGTCGAATAAGAAACACCCCACAGCTCCTTCTATCTTTCGCTCTTTCCCCCATCTCCCACTACCCCCCCCCTCCCAAGTGCGCTATTAGTTACATGACGAAGGAGGAGTGTGTTGTTGTTGCGGCGCCCACTTCGGCCCCCTGCCGGCTCTGGCACTCTTTGGAGCTCCGGCTCTGGCACAGCACACCAGACAGGCTGCGAACTACGAGATACTGTGTCTGATGTACGGTTTTGATGGTGCCCTCCGCCAGCTCTCGTGAGCAGAGAAAATAAGAAAGTGCCGATTGAAGTAATTCAGCAGGATTTGGCGGCACGAAAATAATAAATTTGACATAGGAAATTGAACGACATAAGACCACGCTGAGTTTATAGCCCACAACAAGAATTCGAGGCTGGACCTGGAATAAGCGTTTCTTGATTTCGGACGCTAACTGCTGTACTGATATTGTTCCAAGTCAGTCCACATGATCGAAGTGACATGAACACTACATACACCGATTTACGTCCCGACAAATATAGTCAAAACGCGCGTTTGGTGTTGACAACTGGCTCTCTTTAGGCGCCATCCGCAACTGATGAGCATAGTTTTTTTGCGGGGGGGGGATGGTGATGAACCATCCCCGGCTAAGGTCTGAAAATTTCATGACACACTTCTCCGCGGGCACGTACCTATGGGTGGATTCGTTTTTTTTTTTTGTTCTATTTTTGACCGGGTTTCAACTCATTATCCCTATTCCCCTCAGGAAATTCGCGAAAAGCAAAAATCCGGGGATGGGCCTGAAACATCCCCGGTTTTGAACAGTGGTCAGATTGATCTGAGAATTTCAGGTTAGGGTGATTTTTGGGTGGGGATTTCGAATCCGCGGTGTTTTTTCTTCAATTCGATTTTGCCTTTGAGATACAGGTACACGTTGAACAGCATCGCCTTGCCAAGAAAATCAAAAATATTTGAAGATACTTTACACATCCTCTCGGGAACCGCCCCCCCCCACACACCCCTAAGTTCGACCTCAAACGGACTCTGAAGCCCAACACTTCTCCACGAGCAAATGCAAGAAGCATGTCACTTAAATGCCAGCCCACCTCCCGAAACGGGCAAAAATATTGGGCTCTTCCTTTCTTCCAAGCCCTTCCCAAATCTTTGATGCAGAGTCGCCGTCCAGCCACTGTGTCCCAGTTATTCTCTTCTTTTTGCATTCCTTCTTGTATCGCGGGAACTTCATCCCCTCGGAGGCATTTTCGTCTGCGGGCGCTACTCCAGTGTCCATGATCACCGTTTCCTTCACTACGCCATCCTCCATTGCGGGAGCGAGACGGGGGTACGCTTGCTAACGTAGCACTGCTCATAATCAGAACGCCGGCATGCCGAGCAGAAGCACGACGCCAAACGAGTCCTGAGACTGTAGGTCCGTTTCACCTTCCTGCAAGTCACGTCTTCCTCCCCCGATATCGGATCCTGCAACCCAGCCCCCTGACCCTTCCATCTGCTCGCTACTGCACCCAACACCTTGACTTCCCGCAACCGGCTCTTCTCTAGACTCGACAACTGGCCCTGCCCCTCGCTCTTCAGCACGAGCTTACAGTCATCTTCGCGTCCCTTGGTTGAGGTGGACCCATCCCACTTGGGAGTGTTTGCTCCCGCAAAGTGGTACATCTCTCGTGTACCCTCTACGCCTTCCAGGATCGAGTTTGGCAGATAGATCTCCTTTTTACTGATAAACGCGACGTGCACCCTCCGCATGCGGTACGGAGACCACTTCGCGAAGCACCTCCGCATACCCTCCCCCCGCTCGCTGCCTGCCTTCTCCCGAAGAAGCTTCGCAACAAGCTGACCACCCCGTCCGCCCCCATGATTCGCTTGCCAAATCTCTCCCTCCTCTTCATGGCGTTCTTTGCGACTCCGCCGATCCCATCATGGCAACCTTTGAAGTGAGATGTGGCCGCGAAGTGGTGGTCGATGAAGAAGCCAAGTTGCCGGACGCTGTCGGCCAAAAAGCGGAAATTCCGCCTTCCCTTGTTCTGCTTCCCGCACCCATCGGTAAAGATGTGAATCCTAGGCGTCCTGCCTTCTTTCCGGGCGGCAGCTGTTGGTTCGCTCCCATCTCCACGCAGGTAGTGGTCCACCATCCTGGCCAAGCCGTGCAGGTGGAAATCGCCGTCCTTGCCATGTCCTCAGATGCAAAGACCCATGTTTCCGTCACGTGCACCCTGCCACCCACCACGTGTGTCTGCGGGTTGAAGCGGACGATGGCCACCATGAGCGTTGTCTGCGGGTAAACAGGCATCATCATGCTGATGTAAGATTGGTAGGGATACTTCTCGGCATAGGTCTCGATGACAAGGTCACTGTCCTGAAACGTCTCCAAGCAACGCTTGTGGCAGTGCCTTTGCCACTTGGCGATAGAGTGGTGAGCCATGTACAGCTTGGTGTGCTCTTTGAAAGCCAACCAAAGATCGCAAAGCTTGCCCTCCTTCGGCACCGTCTGGTTGGCGAGCTTCTTGGCCTTGATCTTCCCATCCGCTGATGCAGGCACAGTTATCACGTCCTCGAACATCTTCCACACCACCGTCTGCTCGGAGGTCTCCAGCTTGCTGCAGATGGGAATGCCGTCAGTCCCCCCGAACCCACACATAGCGCAGTCCAAAGCGTTGCACTCCGGTTTCCGCCCCATCCAACTGTCACCCTCTGGGTCCGCTGCCCGCAAGTTGACCTTGGGGCAGGCAATTGCATCGGAGAAAGTGCCCATATGCTTCCACGTTTCCCGCCACCTGCGGCCGCCATCTACGTTGCACCATCGACAATCGCATTCCCCGTGGCTGGTCATGTCGACATTGGCTAGCGCCTCGATGTATAGCACCTGCTGCGAGTGGATCTTGCACGCGCACTGCTCCATTGCAGGGAGAACCAGGCACTTGCAACGCGTCGAGAGGAAGAGTGTACGGCCAGGGTCTGTGAAGTTGTCGCTCTGTCGCTCCTTGAAGCTCTTGTAGGACGCCCAGTTGAGGAACTTGGCGTACACCGCCTCGCCCCCACCCGGCTCCGTAAGCTGCCGCCGAGGGTGGCGGTGAGCTGTCAGAGACTTGCTCTCCTTCCACATGTCGCGCTCAGCTGAGTTGCCATGCTGGCGTGACACCTCGTCCGTGTGCCAGTACTGTCTCATCAACTCCAGCAGCTCTTCGCTGGCGGCATTGCTTTGCTTAGCTCGGGGCCAAAACCAGTAGACACAGCGCTTTGTCGCCTCGGTTGGTTGGAGATCGGACAGCAATTTCTTGGCGCGCTCCGCCGCAAAGTTGAAGGCTTGCTCGCGAACCCCCAGCGCCGCTGCCCTACGTCTTGCTGACACCGATGGAGCCCCGTCTACGTCGTCCACGGAAAACGCCGCAGCGGTGAGGATCGTGTGAAACGTGCGGCTACCCTCCTTGGTTCTACGTTGCCTTTGCGCTTGCTCGAGGGCTCGCTCTAACGAGATCGCTGTGCTGACGTTGGCTTCCAACTCTCGCAAGCGAACACGCGTCTCCTTCGCAAACTTTGAGCCGGTGCCTTGCTAGTGATGCAGCGCCTTGTCATACCCCATGCTGTCCATGGACGCGACAAANGAAAACGCCGCAGCGGTGAGGATCGTGTGAAACGTGCGGCTACCCTCCTTGGTTCTACGTTGCCTTTGCGCTTGCTCGAGGGCTCGCTCTAACGAGATCGCTGTGCTGACGTTGGCTTCCAACTCTCGCAAGCGAACACGCGTCTCCTTCGCAAACTTTGAGCCGGTGCCTTGCTAGTGATGCAGCGCCTTGTCATACCCCATGCTGTCCATGGACGCGACAAACATTTCCGTAGACTGCTGGCGCCAGTCAGCCGGCGCCGTCTGTGGGCACACATGACCAACGAGGAGGAGCGGGGGGAGGGTACGACGTTGCGCAACGCATTCAGGCATAA